TATTAAAATTGTAAAAACTTTAAAATTGTAAAAATCATTCCAGTCAATACTGCTTTTATTACTATTACAATTTATAATAATAATAATAATAATAATAATAATAATAATAATAATAATTATTATTATTATTATTATTATTATAATTAATATTAGAATGATTTCTGAAGGATCATGTGACTCTGAAGACTGGAGTAATGTAGCTAAAAATTCATCATTAAAATCACTGGAGTAAATGATTAAATTAAATGATAAACTACTTTTAAACAGTTATTTTACAGTGCAATAACATTTCACAATTTTACAATGTGTTCTGTATTTTTGATTAAATAAATGGAGCCTTGGTCAGTAGAAGCTTATTTCAAAACATACAAGAATCATTGACTGGATTTTGAAGATCAAGAATCATTGAAGAATTTTGACCGGTAGTGTGTGTGTGTGTGTGTGTGTGTGTGTGTGTGTGTGTGTGTGTGTATAGTATCACCTTAGTTATTTCTTGGGCTATTTAAGAAATCAAGCATGGCTTAAATTTCTATACACAAGTTTTTGGTTTAAAAAAATTAAATAAATAGAAGTTTAAATTGTTGGGGTCAGAGGTTAAAAAGTGTAGCCAGAATTGTAGGTTAACAGGAAACCAACAGGAAAATAAAAACAAATGTACAGTGAATTTCATGTGTAACAGGAATAAGCCACAGACAGAAAGTGTCCTGTTTTCTCCAGTTATGAACTATCCAGGGCTAAAGACATCAATAAACAAACCAACTTGGGATGGATAAGAAGTAATGAAAACCAACTTCTCTTTTACTCAAAATTATAAGCAAAAGTTGCACAGTAGTGCCAAAGAGTGAGTGGCAGAAGGGAAGCAACCAGAGTACATTGTCGAAAATCATGGTGGCTCCCATGGTCAAAATTATTACATATATTTATAATGTAAATGTCTGTTTGTTTTCTACATATTTCACAAAGATGTGTTTTTCATCTCAATAAATAGAATATCATTAAAAAGTAGTTTTCAGTAATTTAATTTAAAACTCATATCTTATTTTTTATAGATTCATTACACTCAGTTACACTTACTACAATCTCCTCTCTCATATTTAACAGAAAAATGTTGGAATACTGAAGGTTAATAACATGTACAGCCCTCAATACTTGGTTGGAGCTCCTTTTGCATAAATTACTTCAGCAATGTGACGTGGCAAGAAGGTGATCAGTTTGTGGCACTGCTGAAGTAATATGGAAGCCCAGGTTGCTGACCAGCATTGTGAGGGAGATGTGGTTTGGTTTTCCAGCAGGACTTGACACCCGCCCACACTATCAAAAGTACCAATACCCGGTTTAAGGACAAGGGTATACCTGTGCTTAGTTGAAGCGAGAATTGTCAAGTATGGCTACCCATTCTCAAAACTTGTCCTCTGCTTTTGAAACATTCAAGTTTCGCGCACACAAGCGAAAAGTGAGACCATGGATGAATTAGGAGTTAGGTGCCTTGCCCAACAGAAACTCTGCTGGGTATTAAAGATGAAAAGTGTGGTTTCATTTCCTGGTTCTCAATTCCTGTCAGGCCTGGGAACCAAACTAGAACTCATTTCTGTGTAAAATTTTATTTTATTTTTTATTTTTTTGGGGTCTTAAAGATGCAGTAGGTGATTGTCTTCAGAAACATTTGTTGTTGTGCTGATTGAAAGTCTCTTCACATTCCAATAGTAATGATTAAAGTTAACAATCTAAATGTATTTATAGGTATTTTAATAATTTGGGTAAGGCATAAAACTAAAAAATGTTCATCCAATTAAATAGAGTGGGGCCGACATCTCCCATAATTCCGATAAGAAGGTCAAACAGTCTGTCAGCAAATGCATATTTGAACAACTGAGCAGCCATAGAGTGGAGGAACTATGACGTCAATTTGCATGCAAAAACCCAGAAGCTAGTTACCATTTTAGCAATTCCAGTTCCCATGTCATAAAAGTCAATAGGTTTTTTTGAATGGGGTTTCAGTAAAATCGCTAAAAACAAGGTTTGTGGAAAACACAACTCAAAAGATACTTTCACGTTTTGTTCTACAGCATTAAACACATCAGTTACATCAGACTCTGGAGTTTTTAAATTGGTTATGCTTCTTTAAAAAGACAGTTGCTATCAAGTTGCTAAATGGGACTTCAGGCGGTGGCGGAGGCATTATACGTCATCAACCTTAGCTGGTCTTGTGCGCAGCTCGCTTGTGTTGGGCATTTGGATTAGCCTGTTATTTGTATAATTTTATGAATAGTATTTTATAGTTGTAGTGTTTTTCTGATTGGGAATTCATATTGTGTGTAGATAATGCCTTTACTTGTAAAGCCTGTCGAGACAGACTAAATATGAAGATACTGCTCACCTGTGCTATCTGTCTCTCTCCTGCTCTGTTACGCAAACGTGTGAATAAATGTGTACAAATGCACACATATTAACTGTCATTTTAACGTGATCAAGTGATTTTTCGACGGGTTATTTCTTCATCTGAAAAGTTATAACACAGTTATAACTCTGTCATAACTGCAATATTTACACTTCTCCATAAAATGTATAGATGTGACTATGCGCTGCTTTTTTCTGTATTTCGTGACAAAAAGAATATTGAATGTTGCTCTATGATGAAACTTGAAGCAAGCATATAGACTTGTTCCTCACGCCTCATTTTTGTCATCTGTTAAGGTAAGCAGGCTGTGTGCATGTGAGCGATACACTTATTTAAATAAGTCTAATGATAATACTATGTAGGCACATTTATACATATCCTTTTAAAACTTTTACAACAACCGTAAAGCAAAACAAAAAGTATTTCCCACGTAAAAATGGTCCAAAAGGCAAGTAGGTCTATACAGATGTGTTTTTGCGTATTTATTTGTTTATAATATATAGTGTGTATTATAATATAATAAACCGAGAGAGTAAATCTTTGTCATGGACATTATTTCTAAAAATAAGCTTGAAAAGTTGTCTTGTAGCAAGGTGGTGCTGACGTCACAAGCGAGTGCCCCGAATGCTCTGTAGTCCATTTATAGCCTAATGTTAGCTTTTAAATTCTTGCGTTTGAATTAAAGATCCAAAAGTGCAAAGCTGATGTAAGGTTGGATGTTGTATTTACAAATGGGTTATATCTTCACAGAAGTGTTGTTCTTTCGGTGAAAGATTGAAAAGACTATTTTCAGTTTCATAAGGGACCTTTTACAGCATCGATAATGTAGATTTTAATTAGTTAACAACAAAACACAAGTAAATACCGCTATTCCGCCTAATCCCTCCCTATATTGTTTACCATTAAACTCTAAATATTCGCTCTGAAATAGCATGTCAGTTTGGCTTAGTAATGAGTGTAATTCCTCCACGCTGTTGGACAAGCACTAGTCGCTTTTAACATATGAGAGAGAGTTCTTTTGCTGTCATCGTTAAGGTGCACGTGCATCTGTTTCAGGAGGCGTGGCTCTGGACGGCAGGGGAAGGACTGTGATTCAGAGATTTATACTAAGCTGTTAGCATTGTGGAAGATCACCTACTGCACCTTTAAGTAATATTAAAATTTTCTGGGATGTTGGCTTTTCATTACCAGTAGGCCATAATCATCAAAAGTAAAATAAACACTTGAAATGTATAGACCAATTACCAACCTACGTCACACGTGACGTCACATTGGTCCCGGGTTGCAAAAAACAGACAGGCTGCAATGGGAAAGATGTCGTGTTTTGCGGTAGGATGCCGAATTCGAGTCCAAAAATGGAAAACTTAACTTTTACCATACACCACACACTGCTTTAATACCGACTGCAGACGTCTTTGGCTAAATGGGAGCTGAATGAAGTGAGGAGCTAATTAGAAATGCTGGACTTTGCAGTTCTCATGTCATATCAGGTCAGTTCATGCTATGCTGAATCATACTCATTACTCGTTTTTGGTTGCAGAAATGATTTCAGCAAAAACAGTTACATGTGGTTAATTAAACTGCTGACACTGAATGCTAAGAATGAAACGTGAAAGTTACGTTGTGTATTAAGGTAAACTTAGTTTTATATTCACACATTCATTCAGTGACAACTTGTGACAAACTCCCTATATTGTTTACCACGGCGCTTTGAATATTCGGTCTGAAATAACCTGCAAGTGTGACTTGAAAACAACATTAACACTGTTTATTTGACTGTGTACAATGTTGTACTTTGATAGTCATTGGCTGTTGCTAATATGATTTCGCTATTTAGAGTTTGCAAATTATATTTTTATGAAATTAACGTATATTATTAAGGAGAAAGTCTGAATGTGCGAATATAAAACCAATTTTACCTCTATGTGTAAGTTCCCACTGCCGTACAGGTGAAGTTCACTGTCAGAATGCAGTCGTTTTGCGTGTTGATTAATTACCCAGGCCTTGTATAACGTTAGCTCCGTCTTGTTTCCTTGTCTTTGGCTAGGCGGAATCTCGGTGTTTAGCTCTTGAATCTGGTCATGATGGAGCAATATTTATTGCACATGACCTCAAAGAACAACATTGTTGGCATCCAAAGACTTGTAGACCTTTAACTTCTCTCTTGTAAAATCACTCGGAGCTTCATTGAGATTGTATATTTCGGGCTGGATGCTTGGTCACTTCGTCTTATCCAATATTCATTGGGAGGGTGCTATCGCAAATGGAGCTGTCAGATGAACGCTGCTCACTTTAACGTTAATTTTGCTGAATCACTGTGCTTGTCACTGGGTGATGAGCTGTTATAATATGCTGTAAGCATTATGTAAATAATATATATAATATGTAATTTATTTATGTAATAAATAATAAGCAATTTATCTTATTTCTAAGACAACAACAAACTCTGCACCGCATCTGATGTCATTCCCTCGCTGTAAATGCTAGGGCTCCCGGTTGCTTTCTGCCACCTCCCTGCGCGCGCATCCTGAATGTTTACAAACATGGTAATTATTCTATTAGTCTGAGTGTAATAAATACATTTCCCTTTTTAAAATTGAAATGCATTATATGATAATATTCTAGTTTATTGAGATGCACCTGTACATTACATAAAAAAAATAGTACATAGGGCTCCCTTAAAAATTTGTAAACAAGCAGAGCAACATGGGAAAGCCTATAGAATTGATTGCTAAACACAATTGCTTCACCATTACAGAACATACAAATAGCAGCATGTAAAGCATAATGTTAAATACAGCATTGTTTTTAGGAGTGCAAAGAAGAACTTTTTGGATTCTAACCATCCTGAGACAGTGGTCAGTTTGAAATAAGGATAACTACAGTACTGGCCCCTCTAATCAGTGGAAAACACACAAGCATAGTTATAAAACTTAAACTCTCGAACTGCAGGCAAGACTGGAGGATTTTGAATTTCTGGCACTGGTGATGAATCAAGCTTATGGGATTTTGAAAAGTTGCAGAAAAAGCAGTGGAAAAGATAAGCATAAGAAATACCCAGATTCAGACTGCATACTGCTTTGGTTGATTCTTGAGGCTGATGTTACGTTCATTTTGTGAGATCAAATGTCCTGCTCGACTATTCAGCAGTCGGCATTCATGAAGAACATCTGTTGAAATGGTTACCAAAATATCAGTGTTTTGAATGCTTTATAAAAACGTTTTAATTAATATAGATTACTTTAGTTCATACCACTGAATTGTTTATAGGCTTCATCAACGATGGCATTATTTGATCTCTTTATCTCCCAAAAACTATCATCCACCCAAGGCTCTGTCTCTCGCACTTCAAGCAGTTGACCATTTTTATACATACCTGCTACAAATTGGGGAAAAAAAATTATAATAAAAATAAAAAAATGGAACAAACATAGAAAGACAAAACCTCCCCAAACAGCTAAAAACAATAAATAATTCAACAAACTTTTTGAGACTTTAACGAACAGTTCGCGCCACGTTTCATTTGAGCTACATATTAATCACTTTAAAGATATTTTGTCTGTAAAAGGTACAGACATATATCTATATGATCTGTCCATGCAATGGTGATCATAGGGATAACCTGATGACCGATAATTCTTGGCTAGAAATTGCAACAGCTTTGAGAAAGGAAGAAAGTGTTTGTAAAAGTTTGTAAAAACCTGAGGGATATGTTTGTTTAAGCCCAAAGAGACCATGGCAAAAGTGGGGACCAAGATGGTTTTAATACACAATTACAGAAATATGTTTTTTTTTTTTCTTGCTATTCATTTTAAATTTAAAACAATAAAACTAATCAGTCTAAAAATTTAGTTCCGGAAACTTAGTAAATACAGTCCAGCATTTTAATTCCACAAATTGTGCTTCAGGTGTTGTTACCCTAAAGACTTTTCTGTATTTTTACCATTATAAATAGTAGCCTAACAAATAGTATAGTTCCATCTTGTTTAAAACATGCTATAATACAGCCTTTTTTATTTAATTGGTAGGTATAGAGTGGAGGAACTATGACGTCAATTTGTATGCAAAACCCGGAAGCAAGTTAGCATTTTATCAGTTCCGGTTCCCTCGTCTTTAAAGTCAACGGGTTTTTTAAATGGGGTTTCAGTAAAATCACTTAAATAAGGTTCGTGGCTAACACAAACTCAAGATACTTTCACGTTTTGTTATACGACATAAAACACATCAGTTACAGCACACTCTTAAATTTTTTAATCGGTTATGCTTCTTTTAAAAGATAGTTGCTATCAAGTTGCTAAATGGGACTACAGGCGGTGTCGCGGACATTATACATCATCGAGCTGGTCTGGTCTGTAGCGCAGCTCGCTTGTGTTGGGCATTTGGATTTGTCTGTTATTTAGGTTTTTTCAAGAATAGTATTTTATATTTTGTAGTATTATTCTAATTGGGAATTTAGATTGTGTGTAGATAATCCCTTCACTTGTAAAGGCTGTTGAGATGGATTCATTTGTTGATCATTTATTTTAATAAACAACATTATAAAGATACTGCTTACTAGTGCAGCCTATCTCTTTCCTGCTCTCAGTAATGAAAACATGTGAAAAAATGTGTAAAAATACATGCATGTTAATTGCCATTAAGTGATTTTTCTCTTTTTTCTTCCTCTGAACACATTTAACTCGGCCATAACTGCAATATTTACACTCATCCATAAAATGTATAGCAGATGTGACTGTATTGGCTGCTTTTCACTGTACTTCGTGACAAAAAAGGAATATTGAATGTTGCTCTGAGTCTATGATGGAACTTGCAGGCATTTGATAGACTTGTTCCTCAAGCCTCATTTCTGTCGTCTGTTAAGGTAAGCAGGCTGTGTGCTCGCGAACGATACACTTATTTTAATGTTTTATGATAATACTATGTAGGAAGATTCATACACACAGTTTTAAAACTTTTAGAACAACCGTAAAGCAAAACAGATGTATTTCCCACGTAAAAATGATCCAAAAGGCACATAGGTCTATGTGTTTTTGCGTATTAATTTGTTTATAATATATACAGTGGATTATAATTAATAAACAGAAAGATAAACTATTTGTCATGGACATTATTTCTAAAAATAAGCTTGATAAGTTGTCTGTAGCAGGGCTTGGCTGATGTCACAGACGAGCGCCCCAAGGGCACTGTAGTCAGGTTATAGCCTAGTGTTAGATTTTCAACTCTTGCGTTTGTATTTAAGATCCAAAAGTGCTCAAAGTTGTATTTTCATGTGAGGATTATCCGGCTAGACAAAACTTAAGTGTAATGAACAATGTTTGAACACAGAGCTTATTATTTGCAATCTTCAAAAAGCCTATGGGAAAATCCCATAAGGATTTTTCACGAGGGAACCAGTTTTATGCTAGCAGCCGATTAGCCTACAAAGTGACGTCATAGTTCCTCCACTCTATTCTTATAATTCAAAAGTTTTATTTAGCACAATAAATTAAGTACTAAACATTGACAGATCCTTTTCCAGATCCTTTAAATGCCTGTGATTTTTTTCTTTATTAATAAAACAATCAGAACTAGTATTAAAGTGACTTCAAATGATTTAGACTCTTCTTTGGCACCTGAATTTTTTTTTCCCTGAATTTGAGCCAATTTCTCTTTTTAACCCTCTGGGGTCTGAGGGTGTTTTGGGGCTCTGGAGAAGTTTTGACATGCACTGACATTTGTGTTGTTTTCAGTATCTTAAAAACATAATAATGGCTAAAGTGTGATAACACTGTAAACAGCACAAGTTGGGCTACAAAATAATACCTAAGCAGCAAATACAGTTTAGCATCCTTATTCCACAAATTGTGCTTCAGGTGTTGTTACCATGAGGACTTTTTTTTGCATCATTGGTAGTCTAGCGGATGGTATAGTTCCATCTTCTTTCTCAACCAGCGTATCTCCTTTTAAAATAGAAATTCAGTCTTGGATAAATGTCATGTCTGGTTTTAGATCCAAACAGTCCAGAAATTGTTTTTTTTTTTAAATACTCAATGATATAATGTTTGCTGCTGATTCAGGAAAAAGCACTATTTTGATTCTCCTTGACCTCAACGCAGCATTTGACACAGTTGATCACAACATTCTTTTAAATCAATGGGTAGGCACTTAGAGGATGCTCTTAAATGGTTTTGATCTTATTTATTTAGCTGGGCAGTTACTTTTCTGATTTTGTAGTTTCCTTCTGTGGGGTTCCCTAGGGACCAATTCTGGGACTTATTTTACCCTCTCTATGTATGTTTCTGCTCGGCTCTATTTGTCATAAACAATGACAGTGTTGAGGGTAAAGCACTGCAAGTAACACAAGTTATGTAATAATTTTACTTTTCTAAGTAACGAAGCTTAAACTTAACTTAAAAAATGTGACAATATTTGAGTTGCCTTTTTAAAATAAACTTTGTTTAATGATTAATTAGCTTTTAAAAAGTAAATTGCTGAATAAAAAATTAGATGAGAATGCATTCATTACTTTGAACACATGAAAGAAAAGAAATTGAACTTGAAATGGATTCTACTTCACATTCAAACACATTGCTTTAAAGGGGTGATCCACAGTATGTATTTTTAAAGTTTGGTTGTGTTTATAAGATACAAAGCAATTTGTGCTCATGCTTAACTTGTAGAAAAATCTAATTATTTTTTCATATCTTACTATACAGCTACTCAGCTAACATGAAAATGATGTAATTTTCCTAGTTCCTCTGAAAAAACCACCTTCCAGAGGCTCTGATTGGTCAGCTAAGATAATGTGTTGTGATTTGGCGATCAGTTCCACGTCACCACAGTACGCCTCTACAACAAGCGCTGTGTAAAGTCAGTCAGAGCAGCTGTTAGCAGAATTAACTGCCTGAATCAGACATAAAATGAAGAGCACAACTGAGCACACCTCACACTCACACCTCATGCTCTCTAAAATATAATCTGACAAGTGTTGTTCATATATATTTGGAATAAGCATGTGTAAGTAATTTGAAACTTTCACATATCTTTTGCGAGTTTGTTGTTTGAGATGTATAACGCATGGAAAATGTCTGCATAGAGAGAAACGCATAGAGAGACACTCATGTGCTGTTGAAGATTGTGGGTATTTACAGCGGTTCAACTGATAGATATGAATTTGTAGCTAAATTGTTAGCGGTGCCAAAAAGCATTTACGGTTGTTTACATCTTTGCTACAACATACCATTAATGCTAGAAACTGCATGTAATTGAACAACCATTAATGCTAGAAACTGCATGTAATTGAACAATCTAACAAATAAAAATACTTATAGGTTGTGGCTCACAATCCAAAGCTTTGCATTGCATTTGCATTCCCTTTGCAATGATCTCGGAGCATCTTAAAATCAGAGATGTTGTTTATATTCACACAGCTACATTACGCATCAACTAAAGTCAAAAATTTGATATGAAAGTGGACCACCCCTTTAAACATTCATTATTCTGTATACGGCATGTAGAGCTCTGGGCTCAGGAAGTTCTGAAGAGAACATTTTCCTACATTTTTACTATTCGATGCATTTTTTTAAGATACAGTAAATAAAGATGTAGGTTATACAGAATGTTGTTAATTGCAGAGTTGCTCTATTAAAAAAAGAAAAAAAAAAAACCTGCAAGCCTTAGCCTCATAAGAAAAAGTAATGCAAAAGTAACATAACACATTACCTACCATAAAAAGTAACTCAAGTAGTTATTTATTAGGTGAGTAACTCAATAATGTAATGCATTATTTTCCAAATTATCTTTCTCTAACATTGCACATTGATTTATACCACTTTTATGCTGATGATGCACAACTCTTCTGCAGGCAGGTGATGGGTTGGATGGTTTAATGACTTGCTATTACCACAAGAAAACTATGGATGGCACAGAACTTTATAATTAAATTAAGGTAAAACAGAATGTCTGATTTTTCTCCATCACCACATATTTTGTAACCAGTCGTTTCATCATTTATTTACTTCAATCCTCACAAGCAAGACATATGGAAGTTGTCTTTGATGCAGAGTTTAAATTTTATAAGCCGGTGTTTTCTGTCTTTTGATGACTTGAAACATGTTATACATGCTTTTATTATGTCTAGACAGGACTATTGTAATTGCTTGTATCTGGGGATTCAAACTGGTTTGCTGAATCAACTTCTATTTGTACAAAAGTAACAACCAGATTGCTAACTGAAACCAAAAAACAGATTATTGTTTCCCCAGTGCTAGATTCATTGCAATGGTTGCCAGTTAATTTGAGTTTAATGTAAGGTCTTACTGTACATTCTTAAAGCTTTGTATGGTCAACTGCCTGAATACATTTCAGACATGATTCATAATCATCATCACTTATAATTTAGGTTGTGCAGGTATCTGAATTGACATCATGCTTTTTTAAATGATTAATCGTGCAGCTTTAAACTTAATGCATTAAAGGAGGCTAAACATGTAGTGACAGAAAACACCATTAATAGCCTAAAACCAAGAAAGAATTTACAGTAGGGGTCACCACAACTTCTTCCATCTTTACATTTTACATGAAAGCCTAAATGTCTTCATACATGTAATATGAATGACACAAGAGATAACCTCTCTGTGATAGTTTTAAATTTAGGATTAATAAACAAGGAAAAAAAAAAGTAGTTATTAATCAGCGGGTCATGTGCATGTCAAACCAGAGGTCAACTGTGATCCGTTACACCCTACACCAAATAGTTATTTAGATTTAGAAATGTGAAATACAGAAAGCAAATCTTTAGGGTTACATGATACATCAAAAGTCACTGTAATATTTTAATTTGCTTATTTAAACAAGAAAAAAAAGTTAAGCTGCTTAATATTTTTAACATTTGACATTTTTACATTTTACAGGACAAAATTTTCAAATAAATAGTTAGTAAAAAAAAGTTTCAACCGGCATTTTTGACCTAACAAAATAAAGGAAATAATAATAATAATAATAATAATAATAATTCAACTTTCGGTCCCCAAAATTGTAAAGTTTGTATTAGGTAGTGTGTTTTTGGGCAGTGAAAGTTAACTTGTGTGTGTGTGTGTGTGTGTGTATATATATATATATATATATATATATATATATATATATATATATATATATATATATATATAATACATTTTGCATAATATTTTACCTTATAACTACCTTAAGACTTAAAAACATTCTTCGAAAATGGTGAAAAGTAAGGTTTAAAACTAAGAAAATACCTTTAATAGAATCATCAATGTCTTTGCATAGTTGATATAAGTCACTTCCACGTCCTACGACCCGTTCACCTTAAATAACACATTAAAAGAGATAAGGAGAACTTATTAAACTAAGTATGAAGTTTCATGCACAAACAAAAAGGTTAGGAGTAAAAACAAACAAACAAACAAAAAAACAAACACTCACCATCCAGCACTTTCATGTTTGGGAAAATTTCAAGAATAAGAGGTCTGTATGATGGATTCTTGCAGACTATACAAAGATTAATAAGAATGAAAGGAAACATGTTTTGAATGCCAAAACATACATTCAAATAAAACCAGAAAACTGCCAACCTGGATTTGTGAAATTATAAGTGTTGTCCTTAAGTCTGATGTTCTCCAGTTTCCTTAATGACTTCAGTGAATGAAGATTATCTACACTGTAGATGCAATGCAGCATTGGTCACAAAGAAAGTTGTATAGGATGCAAACTTTTAAGGGTAGCTCAAAAAGACAACCTACCTAGATATTACATTCCCTGCAACATTTAAACTCTGTAAACTTTCACAGGTGGCAAGTGGTTCTGGAAAGAAACATGTTAGACTCCAAAGGTTAGGCATAACAGCAAATGTTTTATGCACTATAACTTAGATTAAAGTTAAAGCATTACCTAAATTGGAGATTCTATTAGCTGACAAGTTAAGACTGAGAAGTCTTCGTAGAGGTGAAAGAGGTCCCAAATTTGTGATGTTGTTTCCTGAGAGGTCCAGCCTCTCCAGGTTTATACACTCTCCTATACACCCAAGGTCATAAATTCCTAAAAAAAAAATAAATAAATATATATATATATATATATATATATATATATATATATATATATATATATATATATATATATATATATATTAGGGTTGTAACGGTATGATTTTTTTACGGTATGATAATCGTCTAAAACAATACCACGGTTTGACAGTTTCGCGGTATACGGTATTAAATAGTAATTCTCATAGCAAAGACCCTGAAAAGAATAACACGTTTTCTGACTGAACAAAGGTTTTATTTCAACAAACTTTTGAAAGAACCATTTTAATAGAACTATAGAAGTCTTTTATAAAAATAAACTGAAAAATTTCCCATTTTGATCAATTAAATTAGAAGGAATAAACAAGCAAGGTCTTTTAAGATTAGACAAAAATAAACTTAAACTGTCCTTCCTTATAAGCAGGATAATTGGGAGACCAAAAGTGCAATACCAAGTTTATGGCTGTAAACATGTATTTAAAGCGTTGTTTTTTTCAGTCTAGGTTGTGATGAAGAAATGTAAGCATGTTGAGATTTTCAGGACTTAATCTTGACTGCTGAGGTGAGAGAATGTGTCCACTTGTACAATGAACAAATAAAAAAATAAGAAAATAATAAATAATGTGTCAAAGTCCAAATAAACATGGTGCAAATCCTCAGTAAAAAAATAGATATAAATATTTACTATACTATAAATAGTTACATAACGAAACTAGATTCAATATGGAACATCCTTAGGTTTTATGTGCCAGCATGGATATGGTTGTCTATGGATATGGATTTGGATATGGTTGTCTGCAATGCAGACAAACAGCTGCACCTTCATTTGCGTCTTTTGAAAACAGCAAGAGCAGCAGTTCGTCTTTGCTGTGTCACTGTTTTGTCATGTTTCTGTGCTGCTGTGCATGCAAAAGTACTTAGTATGAGAATTATTTCATGCAAAACTTTTTTTTTTTTTGCGTTTTATCTCTCATTCCGTGTTGTTCAAAAAGCTCAGTGTTGGTCCACAAACAAAAGTGAAACCTATGCTTATTGGTTGTGATATAGCGAGTTTGACCTATCTGGGCATGGAGGAGGGACAATGCATCAATTTATCATGTCTGGTTTGTCCGGAGACACAGTGACGAGCGTTTCTTTGTCAAATCAGCTTTGTCAAATTTTGATGACGTAATCGCACTGATTCCGGAGCCTCTGAAAGTCCGCGATGTTATGTGATACAGCACTGGAAAGCTGAGATTCTCTTCTTTATGCCAACCTTTGAATTATATGAATCTGATCAGCGGATCAAAAGTTTTTAAACATTTAAGAGCAATACTTATTTTTAGCCGCAGGCGGCTGTCTCGGTCTTTAAGGGTTAAAACCGTTGATATGCAATTGTTCATGGTATGATAATCGTGCACGTTCAAATCGTGGTAGACCGTCATACCGGTATATTGTAACAACCCTAATATATATATATATATATATATATATATATATATATATATATATATATATATATAAATAAAATTGATGTTGGAGAGTGAGCATGTATTCTGTAAACAATTAAATTCACATCTTACCTAAATTCTTCAATTTAAGAAACAGGATGGACTCCAAATCAAACTCCCCTGTGTGGGACTTCAAAAGCATGGTAGTGATTTTTGAACATTCAATTTCTGAAACACAAGGAGTGAATGTGAGATAATACCTTGTGCAACTTCATACAGCGATCTGTATTTTTTCTGTGACTAGACTTTAAATGTGGCTCTACATGAATCATAAGGTTCATGATAATTTTATTCTGTTTTAATTACATTCAAAAGTTGATTACAATTGCAGCTCTTCTCTGGGCTTACTCTAATATCTAGGGTATTTTTCATATGCATATTAACATATTTTTTATATAAAACTTCACATTATGTCACATATGTATTTCTTGATTGATTTACTTGGACAGTAAAGAATTAGACAAAAAATAAAATAATATTAGGTGTATAAACTAAAATCTCTCAAACCAACAGTTAAAATTATAATCGCAAATCAAACTCATGCATATGTAATGAACGCAAATTCAGTGCATAGCATATACTGAGCAACAAGCGAGTATATCTTAGAAAGACACGCCATGTTTAACTAACCTAAACAATAATAAAATAGAGCATTTACTAGGCTGCAAATATCATTCAAAAGATGTAATAAATGTTACTGAAAATAATGTTACTGAATCAGCACCTTAGTATGTAACAGCTACTGTATTAGCAAATGCCTCGCATAAACGTTTAAACACTGCTTCACCTAATATTACTCACCATCTTTGTCCCTCTTAAAGTCCATTGTTGTTCTGGGTTTTCCAATCGTTCGAAGATTAACGATACAACATAAAGGGGTTGCTCTGTTAGCTATTGTGTGGCGAACAGATAACGTTACACTCACTGTGAACTGGCAGCAGCTCCTCTGGGCAGCTGCTAGCTCTGCGGCTAGGCTCACTGCAATGTCTGCTCTATACGGTGGTTTTAATAAATGGGTTATTTGCCCTCTTTTATTTTGGCTATCTTACGTTTTTGTTCATTTAAATTGTCTTTTCGTTTAAACTGCATTATACCCCAGGATAAATTAATAATTAAGCATAGCCGGAAGCTGTCATTTGCGCAGTTTTGAAAGCTAGCAGTGGTTACTAGGACATTGTCAAGGAAACAGGACAATCAGAGCATACAACTTTTAAGACCACGCCCTAAATGTCACACACACACACAGAAAGACAGACACACACATTATCTATTTTGAGAAACATTTACTGAAAGGTAATAGACAATACAGCATGTTTTATTTTATTTCGTTGTTGTTTTTATTTTAACCTACTGGGCAGATAATTAACATTATAATGCGAAATTTTTAGTTATTAGGAACGAAAAAACTATAAATCTAGAATGAACTAGAATTTGCATTTAACATTCATTTATTGTGTTTATGGCATTACTAACGTTACAGTGTATTCTGCGTTCAATGCTGCACCCTAGTGGTAAATCGATAGTTGGTTCTAGAATGATTTTCATTGAGAATTCAGTCACAGAGCAAACATTGAGAGACTACGTAGATATTGCGCAAGGCAGGAACGGTGGGAGTCAAGCAGTGTAACGTTTCTTTAGCTGTTAAAGTATTCATGGAGAGTGTCGGCTTTTCCACCAACAGGCGTAGGGTACATCAAGAAGAACAAAAAATTCATGCTGGCTCCTATTTTTTTCGACTGGCCAAACCGCGGACGTAAATGCCTACAACAGAGAATACCAATGTGATGCATCTTCACGAGAGAAATATCACTCGACTAAGATGGGTAATAAGCAAACGATATTTACTGATGAACAGCTAGATGCTTATCAGGTAAGATAATCTCTTTTGGTTGCAGACTAAAATCAAACGTCAACACCAGCAATAGCCTGACGTTATATAAAGAAAGCTGTGGATGTGACGAGTCAGGTTTATTTGAATCATTGTTATTTTGTTACTTTCATTGTATATTATTAACGTAAAGGTATTTCTATCTCCATATAAATGAAAACGTGAGTACTGAACACTAATAATGGCATGTGTATTCTCAGGGAGAGAAGGTCTATATGAATTCACGAGGCTTTACCTTGTTCATAGTTTATTGTCTGCGGCACTCTTTAACAGTGCACGGATGGATGTGGGATATTGCACAGAAATTAGTTTAGACTTCAGTTTGACACAAGAGATATTGGACAAGCTTGTATTGGTTACTTATAAAAATCATTAAGAGTGTTCAACCTACAAATGTATGGCACTCTTATTGTACAATTTAGTTTCCTTTATAATATAGACTGTTTGTGAAAAGTCTAAACGTCAGGGAATATTTGATCAAATTGTTCCAATCCATGCAACAATCTTTGTGTGTGTGTGTGTGTGTGTGTGTGTGTGTGTGTGTGTGTGTGTGTGTGTGTGTGTGTGCGCTTATGTATTTTTTGGTGAACCATCATCTTTGTCTGTTTTGCTTAAAGAAGGACACAGTGAGCTTAAATATTAATGGGAGTGTATGGAGATACCCAGAAAACTAATTCCAAATAATTAGGTGCTAGACGTCTGTCTGTCTGTCTGTCTGTCTGTCTGTCTGTCTGTCTGTCTGTCTGTCTGTCTATCTATCTATCTATCTATCCATCCATCCATCCATCCATCCATCCATCCATCCATCCATCCATCCATCCATCCATCCATCCATCTGTCTACAAGTGCACAGCATAAATGAGTACACCCCTGACAGATCTCTTTTGAATTAAAATTTTCTATAGGATATTTTACTATGCAAAAAAAAAAAAGTATCTCAAAGTGTTTTAAAATAAAAAATTGTTGAATAGCAATAACTGAAATAAAATAATGCCTTGCATTAACAAGTGCTTGCATTTTACAGTTTTTCCCAGTCACTTTGGTTAGGGATGTCCCAATACATAATTTCAACTTCCGATATGATACAGATATTGGAACCTTCTATACAAACCATTACTGATACAAATCCGATATCAGCACAAATGATGAATACTTTACTTTTACCTATTTCATTAAGTGGATTGTATGAACGGCTAGATCAAACGGAGAACAAAAGTCAGCAACAATAAGTATGGAAAAAAACAACCAAACTATTGGTTGCATAAATGTGAAACTTTTACATAAGAATATATATAAAAATAATTAAAGAATAAATATTAAGACCCTGAAAAATATCTTAATTGAATTAACAAAAATATATTTTTTTAAAGTTCAAAATACTAATTAAAGGTCACTTCAGTTATTTATTTTTTTGCCATCAGCAAATGGTAAAAACAGCTGAGAGCAGGAACACAAGAAAAAAATATTGTTTACTGACCAACTGCTAAAGGTTGAGTGTCCAAAGTTTCAATTTCACACACAGCTTTTTGATGAATTTTTGATCCAGTTTCAATCTGAAAAATATCTTTCACACTGGGGAGCAGAAATAAGGAGTTATTGTTATGAGTTATTGTTAATTTAATAAAAATGTGCAGTATGGTAAGTACAAACATTTCCATGATCAGAGCTATTTAATCTGTGTTTGTATCATAAGAAGATTATTGCTGTATCAATGTTCCCAAACCTATTATCTTTAACATACATACACTTGCAGTAGCTGGATTGAAACACAACTTTTCTCCACTGCACATAAAATAATGTGACTTTTAAGAATAATTTTATTTATTTATCAAAATTCATTTTATTTGCATACTATATTGCACAGATTCCACCCTACTTCCTACATGGGAGAAGTATGACAATGTAAAAACTCATGTGCAAAGCTTACACTGTTTATTAAAGCACTTTATCTTGGGCTTTTTTTTAAAAAAGAGGAAATGCCTGGGGGAATGCCTCTAATTAAATTTTCCTTCTGCCCAAAAAGTAGTACCATTCTTTATTTTAAACTGTAATGGCCCTCATCAACAGAATGATTTCTTTTTCTTCTTTAACAAACAATTAAAACAAAAGATATTTAGTATTTAACACCTTTTACACAACACTGTTTCTTTTCAATGTGTTCAAGTAAAAAAAATGAACTAAAAAATAAGAAATCCACTAACTTATTTCACTCCTATTATCCATGTGCACCACTGACAGGTCAAATCTGCTCCGGTGCTCCCTCTCTCCCTCTCTAGTCTTGGTGCTGCTGAAAAAAATGAGATGCACCGGCCAAAGTTTGTGAATAAAGTAATGCAAAAACTCCGCTATAGAAAACGAAAGCAGAATCCAGGACATGTTAGGTGATTTAGAAATCTTGGCTGAATGCATTTTAAGTCCTAAATAGAGGACCGGTATGAGGAAAAAGAGGATGTATTGTCACCCTGAATAATAAGTTGGATCAGTCTATTTAGTAAAAGGCTTTTCTTTTCCGAGTGTCCTCGCGCTCTTAAGATCGACTGACATTAAGTAAATAAACCAGTAACGTTACACATGTGCTGTTGTTGACAGCGTCGGTGTGTGCTACCATTACAATAGATTTCTATCGTAAAACACCATAATTTAATGTGAAGAGCATGTTAAATCCTAAAGAAACTTTGCTAGCAAGCAGTGTATTGATCACAAGGGCTATGCATGCTGGCTCTGGACGCCTGCTGGATGGAATAGCTGTAACGAGTTTAGAGCGAATGGGACTGCTTATATCGGAGATTTTTAACGCAGTCCGATATAGTTTTTTGGACTGATATCGGACCTATTTGCGATATCAATATCGGATCAGGACATCCCTAACGTTGGTGCATTACTCACAAAACTATTTACATTTGCACAACAGTTAATGCATTCTCAAAACAATTAGTACAAACTGCAAAACTTAGTTGATAACTTTGTCATTTGCTCAAAATGGATAGCTCATTCCTGATAGCAAGTATTGATGTCAATGGAAGTCAATGCAAGTGTCATTGTCATCAAGATAAAAAGTCCCGACACCATTGTTTTATGAACAAGATAGTCAAATGGCTTTGTCATGTTTTCATTATGATAGTTTACATTTTTCCCAGTGGAGAAAAAAGTCAGATTTTGGTGACGTCCTGAAATTCCTCAAGACAGTACTATATACTATTTGCACAGCCATTTGAAAACTACAGTAAAGTTAGACATCACTGCATTTAGTGAATTATCTGAGTACAAGACACTGAATATGTATGTTTCACATTTTTACTGCACATGCTCTTTGCAGCTAATTTATTCACAGCATTGTGCAAAAGAATAAACACACCCTTATTTACAACAAACAAACTTCCTTTGGGTAGAGCTGTGCACAACTGTAAACAATATTGCAGTACATATTGGAACTGAACCTACAACATGCATACTGTAGGTCTGTAAATCATTCATAAAATTGTTCAATTTAGAAGACATTTTCAGGAAAAAATATTGAAAGATTTTTTATAAAATTTGCTTGACAGATTTTGACAGCTAGTTCGTTGACTCAACTAATGACTCATATAATGAAATGAGGAATATTAGTTTTATATGGAATGACTATTCAGCATTCACAAGTTTAGTTAATTTTGACTGACATGACATAAGCAAATGATAATGTTATAAAACAGCAAAGAGTTGTATGAAAGCAATTGATGCATTTCCAACAGCATTTGCAATTTGTTGGAAGGAATGAGAAATTGCTACTATGATGTGCACAAATTACTAATTGTTTTGAGAAACTGTTGTGCAAATGTAAATAGTAGGGATGCCACGGTTCTCAATATAATATTGAACAGTACGGTACGACCTCCATGGTTCAATATGCGCTTGTGAATTGCGGTTTTCTTGATTTTGCATTTAAATAATTTATGTGCGTTTTATATCTCCCTGAATTGACTGTGTGTGCCTGTAAGTCCATGAGCTGAGATGAGGAAACTCCTCAAAATAACAAAGGCAGTGCGGGTGTTTATTGCTAAAGATTTGCAGCCGTTTTCGGTGATTGGAGATGCAGGCTTTTGTCATTTTATAGAAGCACTCGATCCGCGTTACAGACTACAGTCTCGCATTTTTCAGCACCGAGATAATTGAGATAATTTATTTTTTTTTACTTAAGTACAAATATGTTTATTTGAAATGGCCAATTTATCTTTATTAAATTCACATGTATGTTTATTTTCAAAGTGTAAGATTTTATGTGGTCCCCAGTTTGTACATGGGCTATCAGCAGCTGTGAGATTTCAGTGTTGATTTTTTTATACAATACACTAGGAACCGATTTACTTTTCTTGGTTTTAAGTAAAACAAAATGAGTATTGCAATAAATAATTTTTATTTCTTTCTCCCTAACCGATAATTTGTCCTATTGCCTATAGAATTAAAAAAAAAACATGTGTCAAGCCATGAGAACTGAACCGAACCGAAAACCGTGTTAAAAAACCGAGGTATGTATTGAACCGTGGACTGTATTGTTGCATCACTAATAAATAGTGCAACTGAGAAAAACTGTAATGACTTAAATTGCCAGTTTGTATTTGTTGTATTATTATTTTAGCTGTTTATTCAAGCTTTTCACACACATTTTCATACTTAAATTCAATACTTCATATTCACTTTCCAGAATTCACTTCCAAAATATTCAGTTCTGTTTAAAAATATGATGTGGTAATATTAAATAATAATTTCAGTAAAAAAAAAATGTTTTCATAATGTCAGTGGTTCAACTTTGACTGTTACAATTTAACATTACATCCAGGCACTGCAGGAAAAGCAATAGAGTGCAGATTAAAGATCTCCAGCTGCTGTTAAAAAAAAAAAAATTAAAGCACAAAAGTAGTATTTAATTTTAGTATCAGTGTCTTGAACATTTATATTTGCTATTAACATAAAGGAGGCCAGCTGGGGATTGAGTGCCCCACTTC